TAGTACATTTATGTATTGAACAAGATCCCAGACAGGAGAAGTTCATTTTATACTGATCGTCGTAAATGAACTAGGCCTCGGTTAATTACTGCGTTCTCTTAACCCGTAAGATATTAAACAGGCAGATATATATAATATATATTACTTTGATTCACATGGGTGAGGTTCAGTTCGCTGGATTAATATTCTTACTGTTTTGGGTAATATTATTATATATAGGATGTGCTGTTAGGATATTTACGGTCACCATGTGCGTTAGTTTGATGATGTCCCCGGAGTGAGTTCATGAATGATTGTTATGCTAAACCCTGCAGGTGGATTAAATTCCGGCATAATAAGAATGTGATGAACGAGCGCTAGCTCCGGTGAAATAATAATAAATTAATTAATTCTTGATTGTCAGTAATCGAATTAATTAATGGATATTATATCTTAAACGTGGGGAGGTAAATCGAGTAATTATTATTGGAGTCTCAAATGTAATTTGGGCTAGGGAAAGGGAGTGCAATAATATAATGTTGGTGGCCCATTAATATTATTTAATTAATTAGAGGAGTGGGTTTGGTCCACAGTTAGTCTAATTAATTAAGGAGCAATTTTTCTAATCTCCTTAGGGTCCCTACTGTAACTCCATATATACATCATTAAGCTCATGAGAAGAGAATCCCAATCTCATATTCACGTGATACACGCCGCCCATCTCTCTCTCTAGATCTCATTCGAGCTTTATCTTCTTCTTGTTGCTCCACTGGTACAAGTTGAAGAAGGGTGTATTGAGTAATACAGTAGAAGATCTGTAGGTAAACCGAGACGAAATAGATTTTGACCTACAGAACTAACCGGAAGTCCGATTGAGACGTACAGTATACCCAGACAACCGTCTCGACGAGAGCTTTCCATATCCGCCGACGTCGCCGGAATCCGACGCCGCACGCACCCTCACGCGCCGCCGGAAGGTGTCTGGCAGCAAAATTTCGTTTTGATCTGTTTGCATCCGTTTGATCCAGTTTTGATCTGATCTTGTTCGTGCAACCCAAGACGCGTGTTGCGGTCAATCAATTGCGGTCAACCGTTCGTGGTCAACCAGATCTACATAAATTTTAAGCCGTAAGTTCTCTACGTGAAACCTTTAGATCTGCTGCGCATAGGTTTACGTTTGCTATTGAATTCGTGATTTGTACATAACGAGATCCTCACAGATCCCAACAATGCCAACTAATATTTTTTCCCAACGGATTACCAACGAAATTTTCCCAACAGATTAGCAACGCATATTTTTTCCCAACGAATTGCCAACGGACTTTTCCTAACAGATTACCAACGGATTTTTCAGCAAATAATAATAATAATAATAATAATAATAATAATAATAATAATAATAATAATAATAATAATAATAATATTATTGATCCAACTTGGCTCACCTTGAGCCCATGGCCACCTTGAACCACACGGCTCACCATGACCCATGGCATCCACCAATATAATCCTTAGTAATTCTCACAATTCTCCTAACAATAGGGCTTCAACTCAAGACCTCTTGCATGTTAAAGAGGTAACACCACCACTAGGCTATATGAATATATGAGACTGGATTCTACAATTCTTATATATATATAACACCACCACTCGGCTATATATATACATATATATATATATACGAGAAAATAATTAGTAAATATATATAAATTATATTCTATATTTAAATTCATAAATATTTTTATATTATTTATGATCTAACCGTTCAATTATATTAGGTGTTTTTTTTAATGTCTAATTATAAAAACAGTGACTATATATATTAGTATCTATAAATTTATGGCATTATTGAATGAACTAGTACGAATCCCGTGCGACGTACGGGTAAGAAATATATATTAGATTTTATAAATTAAAAATACACATTAAATAGTTATAAATTAAAATATGGAATCAATGTGTAATACAATTTACCTATATTAACTTATTAAAATGTTATATGAAATTTAAATTGTGAAAAATTACATAAAATATGTCTATTTAAATTAGTACACAACCCGTACGGTGGACTAACTGATAATAAATTATATAATATTTATTTCACAATAAGTGACATTTAAAAAAAATATTTATAAATTCAATTACAATGTGATTCCATTAAAGAAATATTTTGGTAAAATTTTATCCAATATTTAAATATTAATTAAAATAATAAGTATAATTATAAAACTTATATTGTTTAGTTAATTAAAATGAATTTATTTTTGTATAAACTATCCAAATAAAAAATTTTAAGTAGTTGAGTAATTTATTAAATTAAATAATTAACTATTTCATTTACGTCAAAGTTAGTATTGACTCATAAGTTATGAATAATTACTTATTTAACTTTTAAATTTGAAACTCAAATTTGGACTACACAATAAATTTTTATTTATTATGTATACACACACAAACACAGATATATATATATATATATATTCTCGCAATTTTCTAGATTTTTTGTCGGCCACCTTATCATTCGAATTTATTACCCCATTAAATAATGTTTACAAAATAAAAATATGGAATAAATATGTAACATAATTTACCTATATTAATTTATTGAAAATATTATATGTAATTTAAACTGTGCAAAATTACGTAAATGTGTCTATTTAAATTAGTACACAACTCGTACAATGCACTAATTGATAACAAATTATATTATATTCCTTTCAAAATAAGTGTCATTATAAAATTTTTTCTTCACAAATTAAAATAAATATTTTGGTAAAATTTTATCATATATCTAAATATCTTTATAAATAATAAGTACAATTATAAAATCATATATAGGTATATATGATATTTAATATCATCTATCATCTATCATAATATTCAATACTCTAATTAAAAAACAATATCACAAAATTCAACGATAATACGGCCTAATTACTAATTTTACTTTGCTTAACATATTTAACAATGTCATAAAATCATATATATATATATATATGATTTTTTTTTAATTATTATGATATATAACAAATTCTAAAAATGAATGGAATGCATATGTGGCACATATTTATTTTGAATTGATTTAAATATTATTAAATTAATTACATAACTAAATAATGTTAATGTAAATTAAATATTTATCAATATATATATATATATATAAAGAATTTTACTTTTGTAAGTGTTATAAATAATAATAATAATGACATTATACGATTTTGAAAGAGTTTGTTGCTATTCCGTTGTTATTTACCAACGGAATAATCCGTTGCTAATACAATATTGAATGTGTCTGTTGCTAATCCGTTGCTATTTGACAACGAAAAAATTTTGTTGCTATTTACCAACGGAATAGTCCGTTGCTATTACAATTTTGAAAGAGTTTGTTGTTATTCCGTTGCTATTTGCCAACGGAAAAAATCTGTTGCTATTTACCAATGGAATAATCCGTTGCTAATACAATATTGAAGGTGTTCGTTGCTATTCTGTTGCTATTTGCCAACTGAAAAAATCCGTCGCTATTTACCAACCAAATAGTCCGTTGCTATAATAATTTTGAAAGAAATTGTTGCTATTCCGTTGCTATTTGCCAACGGAAAAAATCCGTTGCTATTTACCAATGGAATAATCCGTTGCTAATACAATATTGAAGGTGTTCGTTGCTATTCCATTGCTATTTGCCAACGAAAAAAATCCGTCGCTATTTACCAACCAAATAGTCCGTTGCTATTATAATTTTGAAAGAAATTGTTGCTATTTGCCAACGGAAAAAATCCGTTGCTATTTACCAACGGAATAATCCGTTGCTAATACAATATTGAAGGTGCCCGTTGCTATTCCGTTGCTATTTGCCAACGGAAAAAATCCGTTGCTATTTACCAACAAAATAATCCGTTGCTAATACAATTTTGAAAGAGTTTGTTGCTATTCTATTGGTATTTTGTTTGTATTTACTAACGGAATATTTCCGTCACTATTTGACAACGGAATACAAAGATATAATTTTCGTTGCTATATTTTGTTAGTATTCTATTGGTAATCCGTTTATAAAAATTGTATATATAATGCATTACTAATCCGTTAATAATCCCCAACAAAAAAATTTTTGTTGGCATTTTGACAATTTCTTGTAGTGGATCACCCGGATCTTGCTGACATTATTTGAATATAACAAACTCATAACCCAACTATACCAAGTACAAACTATAAACTAACCAAAATATAACAACCTTAAAAAAAATCAAACCAAACTTATTTGAATATAACAAACTCATAACCCAACTATAAAAAGTACAAACTATAAACTAACAAAAATATAACAAACCAAAATATAACAACCTCATCTAGGGTAGCTACTAACCAAAATATAACAAGCTCATCTAGGGTAGCTAAATTTACTATAAATTGGCTTATCACGCTAGACTATAAAGTCTATAATTCAATTTCTTTCACTACTTCTTTAAGTACCGGTAGAAGACTGCAAATTCTCCAACCAAAAACAATAATAATAATAATAATAATAATAATAATAATAATAATAATAATAATAATAATAATATATACATTTAAAACGTTTATATTTTGCTTAAAAACAAGAAGAAAAAACGTATTACCATGTCACATTATCACATACAAATAAGCTAGGAAGCTTCTTGGAAGAAACATGTGTTGGCCAAAAACCAATCAATTCATGTTTATGGGCAACAAGTCATGACACCAACATTTCCCCAATCAAGTTGTGGGCATCACGACTTTGACAAATTGAGCCTCACTTTTCATCACATACACAAACACAACCAATAGTTAAAAATAGAAAATCAAATCAAGGCCGTCCATTTTTTTTTTTCAAGAATCATCAAATACACAAAAACTTGACAAGCAGCATTTATGCTATATAAAAAGCTACCCCAATCCTCACTCCCTCTTGGGATGTCCCAACACTTGGTTTAGACTTTTAGTTCCAAAAGGGCTCAAAACCCATCTTCTCAAAGTCACTTCAAATTTTCGAAAGAAGCAAAAAAATGGAAACGAAAAACGAGTGCCGAGAGTATGAAGATTTGTTACCGGTGATGGCGGATAAGCTGGATTCAGAGACCTTCGTGGCCGAGCTCTGTGGCGGGTTCAGGCTTCTGGAGGATCCGGCTAAAGGGCTGATCACGCCTAAGAGTCTGCACAAGAATTGCTCGGTTTTGGGGCTGGAAGGGATGAGTGAAGAAGATGCAGAGGCCATGGTTCGCGAAGGGGACCTCGATGGAGATGGAGCCCTCAACCAAACAGAGTTTTGCATTCTGATGGTTAGGCTCAGTCCAGAGATGATGGAAGATGCCGAGATTTGGCTCGACAAGGCCATTCGAGAAGAATTTGTGTAGTTGTTTCTGTATGCTGTTCGTTTTTTGTTTTTTGTTTTTTTTTTTTTTACCACTTTTGGTGGAAGTGTGATTGAAAGAAAGTGCCACTAACGAGTGAAGAACAGATCCGAACAACTTGCTGAAATAAACCTGCGACTGTATTAGAAAGTTGTAACTCGTTTTCCTGCAGAAAATGATGTGATGCTAGTGTTCAACATTCTTCACCAAAAGTTTCTCCTTTCAAAACATTTTATGTAGATGAGGAGAAGATATAGGCATCAGCAGGTTTAATCCTATCTGGGTGAGTGTGGAGTGGGTTTGGCATATGCAGAGAGAAAAAATTTGGTATCTCCAAATTGTATTAAGTCAGAATACAGTTATTACAATACACAACCTATAACTATAAAATCAACATACCACCACAATCCAAAGACATTACAAGAAAAACCTTTGGCCCCTGCCTATAATTTATCTACGTGCTCAGAGGAACAAGCACGTAAACAACATCAAGTCACAAATGCACCCAAAAGAAAGTATATCACAGTAAGTACTTCTAACTTCAATGCACATACTCCAGGCATGTAGAGTGCAGCATTTTGTTCAATTTACAAAATAAACGTCCATTAGGGACAAAATAAGAAGCACTTCCATGACTCTCGTAATCCCTTCTCGAGCTATCATATATTCCACCCTTCTCATCATCATCCTTCAAAGCATACTCGATGGAGACAACCTATCCAGCATCTTACTACTGCATTAACACGAAACCATTTTATGAGCAACACAGATATGATAGGGCAAAAGGGTAAAAAAAAAAAAAAAAACTCGCTCATACTACAGATGATTTAAATAGCAGGCATAGAGTACGCTACCTCATACGGGTGTACCCTAAGAGCTTTTGTGGCATCCTCCAAAGAAAACCCTCTATATAATCGTACGAAACTCAAGATCATATTTTTACACTTCACCATATTACTTCGCAGTTTCGGCCATCCACGCATTCGCGATAGCACACAATACTCTTTATTTCCATGATGGGAAAATCCCAATAGTTCGCATCCAATGGCAATTCATTGCAAACCAATATCAAACAGTAATTGTATGAAACTCATTTCTAAATTCTAATGAAAAATACCTACTCTAAATATCCAAGACGATAGCTCGAAAATTCAGTCTTGTTTTACAACACACTGTACACTACCCAAAAAAGGAAGAAAAAATAAAATCCAATCTGCAAGCCGCTGCAACATCTTGCCACCCCTACATCATTCATTGTAAAAAAAAAAAACAAAAATGCTTTTATATCATCAGCCGAATTTGCAACCTTTTCCTCCTCTTAAAAACTCACGGTACTCACCTCACGCCCTCCATGTTGTATTCGTCTCAATTCTCAACCTCAACCCAACAATCAAACACCTAAATAGCATCTGCCCCCAAAACACTCTCCAAAGCCGCACGGCCACCAACCCTCACAAACTTCTGCACTAAAATCCTCCAAGATTCCGACTTTATCCTCACCTCACCTAAAACGGCCGTCCGAAGCACCATATCCAACAAACCCCCTTCACACCCGGACCCACAAATCCCCTCAATCAAGACACCACAAGTCTGCTTGTCCAAAAACCACTCTCCACCACCCACCATCTCCTCCAATACCCTAACCCCTTCCTTTGCATAACCCGCCCTACAAAACCCTCTGATAAGCAGATTGTAAGTGAACGCATTCGGCCGGCAGCCCCTCCCCACCATGTCATCCCAAAGCCTCCCGGCCTCACCCAACTCACCCTTCTCGCACATCCCTTCAATCAACACATTGTATGTCAACACACTAGGAATCGAGCCCTTCTCGAATTCGTCAAACAGTTTTCTCGCCTCCCAAACGCGCCCTTCCCTGCACAACCAGTGTATGAGCGTGCTTGATATTGCATTATCCGGCGTGCAGTTTTTCAACAGCAGCAGCTTCCACAGCTGGCATGCCTCATCCGTCTTTCCCTCCCGGCACATTAAGTCTATGACTCGGCAGCACAGGGCTGGGCTCGGGACGTATTTTTTGTCGAGCATGTCACTTATCATGCCCGCCGCCTCACCGGATTTTTTCTCCCTGCACAGGGCCTCAATCATGACGCCGTACGTGACATCATTCGGGTGGACCCCATTCTCTTCCATCTCATCCATCACTTTTGATGCATTGGTAAACTGGCCGAGCTTGCAGAACCCATCCATGAGGACTGTGTAAGTGGTTGCGTCTGGCAGCCAGCCGCGGTCGAGAAGCTCATTGAACGCCCGCCTGGCGCCTGCCATGTCACGCAGATCAACATACCCACTCATAATCGTGGTGTAGCTGACCACGTTTGGGACGAGTCCCATTCCTGGCATTTCGTCTAACACCTTGACGGCGCTCTCCATGTCGCCCTTTTTGCAGAGAGCTTTGAGCAGGATGTTGCAGGTGAAGACGTTGGGGACAATACCGAACTTCTCGCGGCTGTTACTGAACACGAAGTGTACGGAATCGTACTTTCTGTTCTGGACCAGGGCGTTGAGTAGGGTGTTTAGCGACCGGACGGACCTTTGGACTCCAAAATCGTTGATCCGAAGGAATATTCCGATCGCCTCCTTCGGCCGGCCTGCGACGCCGTAGTTTCGGATGAGGGTGATGAACATATTCTCGCCGCATTTGATCCCTGAACTGCGGATCTCGTTCAGTAGTGGGGTCACTGGCTCGAAGGCGCGCAAGCGGGAGAGCTTGTGGACGATGGCGTGGTAGGTGTCGTATGTGTGGCGGAAGCCGGGGTGGTGGTCGCCGGCGTAGTGGAAAATCTGGAGGGCGAGGTCGAGGTTTTGCTGGTGGGTGATGATGCAGCAGAGGCGCTTGGGAGTTAGTTTCTGCGGCCAGGGTTTGATTGGGGGCGTGGGGTTGTGGGGCTTGAGGAGCTGCGGTTCGGAATTTGTGCTAGGAGGGCGATCGTGGCGGTTTGCGGTGGATATAGTGGTGATTGGCCGGAGGATCGGCGCGTTTGGGACGGTGGTGTGGGAGAGGGAATTAATTTTCCGGCGAAGTAACATAGCAACGGGTCTCCGAGAGGGGCACGCGAGGGTATTTTGAACGGGCCGTGGCTTTATGGGCTCACTATTTAATTCAATGACGATGGGCTCTACCAAAGGCCCATATACGCTGTACCAACTTCCCAACTATCTTATGAGCCTACATTTATCTTTATTACTAGGCCTCTTTAAGTTTGCATATATAACAGACGAGCAGGGCCCACACAGCAATCTTCCTTACGCGGCCCGTTTTAATCCGTTCAACAAGTATTTTGCCCTTTCCTTATCTTTCTGTTGACATCTAGTTTGCCATTTATGCATCTACACGTGTCCTCTGTAAATCGGAAGCCATCAACTCTAGAAGTATGGCGGCCACGCTCAGCCTCCCTAAGCTCCCCGCCGCCCGTCTGCCGCCCAACCACCACCATCGCCATCGCCCAATCCATTCAAAATTACTCCCTACTCCTGTCAACTCCTCGAAATCCCAAAACGACCCCGCAAAATACCCAACCAATCCCCACAAGCTCCTCCACGAAACCGCGGCGCAGCTGAAATCAACTCCTCTCCCCCTCGCGGCGCTCGCATTGCCTTTCTTCCTCGATCCAAAGGCACTTCAATCATTTTTTCAATTTCCTTTTTTTTTCCTTTAATTCCATTTTTTGAAAATTTTCCGGTGTGATGATTTTTGAATGTTGATAGGATGCGAGCGCCGTTGGAGGGGAATTTGGGATTTTGGAAGGGAGATCTTTTGCGTTGGTTCACCCGATTGTGATGAGTGGTCTGTTTTTGTACACGCTGTATGCTGGGTATCTTGGGTGGCAATGGAGGCGGGTACGCACCTTACAGGACGAGATCAACGAGCTGAAGAAGCAGGTCAGGCCGGTCGCCGTCTCACCGGACGGGAACCCGACGCCGGCAGAGCCTCCTTCACCTGTCGAAGCCAAGATCGAGCAGCTTACCGAGGTATAAAAAAAAAGCAGTACATTGAGAGCTCTGTATATGTTTCAAACTTTCAATTTAAGAACTTGGTTATTTAATGCTATTGTGTATGTGACAGTTTTTGCGATTTAACAAAACAAGAGTCATTTTTTGATGTGGTGTTTGTGAAGGTTCTCTTGGAAGGTGTAAATTTTGGTGTTTCGAAGTGTGGAGTAAACCACCATTGAAACTATTGTATTTCTTATACAGGTCGAGAAATGGAAAATGTGATTCATCAATGAGTGTATACAAGTATCTTTGCTCGTATGTTCATTTAACGAAGTTGATTTTATATCATCAAGGAATTTCTTGATAGTTTTTCCCAGAGAAGAGAGTAGAATAAGAAGGTGTGTAATTTGCCATAATCTGAAGCCTTGGAGAATGAAACAGCTGAGTTACATTTCTGAACAAGTCGCCTTGTGCTTGATATACATCGACTAAGTAACTAAATGCAATTGTCTTCAACTAACTTAACTAACTAAATACATTTACATAACTAACTTCTCATCTATCGTTTATTTCAGGAGAGGAAGGCGTTGATCAAGGGGTCATATCGGGACAAGCACTTCAATGCAGGCTCCATATTGCTTGGATTTGGAGTGTTTGAATCTGTGTTTGGTGGGATCAACACTTGGTTCAGAACAGGAAAGCTATTCCCCGGGCCTCATTTATTTGCTGGTGCAGGTAATTGGCATGAAGTGCATATAACATAGCTAGTAAATTCCAAATAATACAATAAAGAAACTCCATAGTTTATGTGATCAGATATCTCAAGAATCTGTATGGTGATATTTCTCTAAGGAGAACTAGGAGAGTTCTCAGCTTAGCATTACCATAAAAACCACCATATCCACAAATTATAAGATTTAAATTGGAGTTTTCATTTTTCAACATGTTAATCCTTCATTGTTTTATTCATGTGTGTGTATAAACTAAGTTCCCTGAGGGCTTAAGCATGTAGCTGTTTGCTAGTTTTCAAATGTGTATACTCTTAGCAAATATTTAAGGGAGATGGTGAAATTTTCTTTAAAAAAGAAGAAGGAATAGAAATGACGGACGACAACAAGTGATATTTGATTGTGATCAAATTTAGAAAATATAGGATCTGAAAATGTAACGGGCGAACAACTAGTTATTTCTGCAACATTTTGACTGCATTTTTTCGGGTGAAAAGGGGCTAAACCTTCTTGGTTTTGTTTCATTATGAAACAGCCATAACAGTTCTATGGGCTGCTGCTGCTGCATTAGTGCCTCCAATGCAGAAGGGAAATGAAAGTGCGAGAAATCTACACATTGCGTTGAACACTTTGAACGTACTTCTATTCATTTGGCAGATCCCAACCGGAATTGACATTGTTTTCAAAGTATTTGAATTCACTAAATGGCCTTGAATTTGTAAATCTGAGATTTTTCTAATGTTGTTAGTGCATATATTGTTATTATGTCTTGTATGATGTATCAGTATATTAATATTCTCCTCCAATTCAATGTACACAGTTAACTTCAGATACAAAGAAAAGAAAAAGATTTACTTTGTACATTTTGTTCTATGCTTGAAGTAACTATCATAATAATAATCACTACTGCATTGTATCTTATGAAAGCAAATCACATAATATTGCAATTAGTGCAAGGATTTAAACTCTTCCTTCAAACTGGTATAACAACAATCTCTTTCTCTGTATTGACTGCAAACTCTTTCTCATAGTTCATTGAACCCTTTCCCTCAAAAACAGGAATATCTTATACAGAACATACAACTAATTGGCTTTTCACTTGAAAAGGGTAAATCTAAAATGACAAACTAATTGGGGTTTGGTTCTTTCAACCATATATAGCTAAAAAGGGTTATTTGTACTAAGAAGAAAGCATAAGAAAACAACTATCGACGCAAAATCTATATATCGGCATGACTGAAAAAGTTACTACTTTTGATGTAATAACTATAGTAAGTATTTTAATACACACAAAGTATATGAAAGTATATGCGATAACACTTTACCAAATTCACGTACCAAAACAAGTGCCGAAAACGATCTTCGATTGGTGAGGTTAGAATATTAGATCAACAGTTAACAAAAACAAAACGAAATCATTATCGTAAGAGTTTAATTCAGATTTAATGTGGATGAGATATAGTTCAATCATGTGGCATTGTCAATAAGTGAAAGTTCTTTTCCTCCATTAATATGGACCTCATAAATTTCTATACTTGATATGGAAAAAGAAGCATAGCTCCTTTAGATTCTGAGACATGCACTAACAATTATATCTCTTCATTTCTCGTGCTCATTCATCACTTTAAGCAGCACATTGACCCACACTCCTTATGAACTAACCTGTTCCTACTCTCTGCCACAACACTTAGTCTCAGTTGGATCCACTTAATCATTCACACAAATGTACATATACTTTTAGCGATCCATCATATATGTTTCAAATGACTTTCGAACGCGCAAAAACCCAAATGCTAGTTTGTGGATTATGTGGGGAAACACAACGGACCAGATAGAGCTAGCGTTTCAAGTTTGGTGATTCGAAAAAGAATCCAAAGCAAATTTTTGCTTATACAATATATATATATATATATCATGATAATCATATGATCATCATTTGGATTTTGTCACTTTTACCAATAATTAGGCATCTCATTAGCTGTCTGACTTAGCCACATGTTCAAAGTACTGTTTTTGTAGGCTTCATTAATTATCCATAAATGTATCTTAGTTTTCTCATGACTACACTCTTTAACTATTGGTTCTGATCATAATTTGTAATTATAGTGTATGTTCATGCATAATGGTGCACAGTTATATATTGGAAGCATACGATATTCTTTGACAGAATAAAGATGATTACCTCAAACATATAAGTGATAAAGATTGAAGTCATTGTACAATCATGTGTTTCGAAAGATCCAAGGGCTCACATTTGATCATCTTAAGAAAAAAATTTTCACTATGACGGGAAAGGTGAGGGGCACATGCATGCATATATATATGGGGTTGTTTAATTTTTCGGATGATTTTTGGGCGGATCTTTCGAAAACAGACTACAAGAGGCTCCCAAAAGGCGTCTACCTGGCGTGGGTCCCACGACTCTTCTGACACGTGTCACCTTTTTCCAACTTAATATCTCCTCTCCTATTAATCCCCTGCTTTAGACTCACACATTCTGTGGTAAACTTCACTTGCCACTCAACAAATCTTCAGAACAAAATGAAGGCAAGTTTTTTCAGATTTTTCAAAAACACTCATTTTTTTTTTCTTTGTTTCCTTTGTTGTTGGTCAATTGAGAGTATATTCTTAACAACAGTATATTATTTTGTAGATCTTCAACTGGGTTCACCGAAAACTTAGCTACAAAGGAGGTATATATATATATATATA